ACGCTACGGGGAAAACCTCTTTTCCACGAGATATTGAAGCCAAAAAATTATCCTTAATTTTGTATTAATGTAAAACGCTGTGCAGCAGCATGCAGACATAGGCAAGGCGGCTTGCGCGCCTATTGGCTGCCCTGCGGCAACAGCAGCAGCCTATCGAGAGAGGCGCTGCGTGACACCACATCCAATGGGGGCAATTCGCGCCCGTTTCGTCATGTCCCGCCAGAAAGGGCGTGGTCTCGCCCTATAAATATAGCTCGATTAGGCTGGTACAACTGGTTTTCATCGCCGAAGCGAACCAGAGCTCTGTATGCACGGCAAGATACGCAGTACTCGATCCCTCTCTAGAGAGATCCGAGGTTACGTTAGTAACCGAGTACGTTCTCTTACGAGAGTACTCTCGTACTGCGTAATATCTTACGCTATGGGGAACACTATGCAAAACGCCATGCGTACTGGGATCCAACACCAAAGTCCCAAGGGCAGTAGCCCGGGGCTCATATAGTGCATAATCACCATAGACTCACAGAGAGTCGGAGGAGAGAGGCTGCAAGCATCATTCCCCATGAAATAGCATCCCACAGGAGCTAGTTATGTTACAGTGTTCCGCGCAGACAGGGTGAACGTATTCAGCCTGAACTGGGCAATAGAAAGGGTTATTCAACACCCCTGGGCTGTTCTATCGCTCGGTGAGCGATGCACAGGCAAAACTCAGTATCTGGGCCAACACAGCGGGGCAGATAGCACTGAATTCTATATCGACAGGCGCCTTGGTTTGAGTATGACTCTTGAGTCATTAGGCCCAAACTCCATACATGACGCGCTTACTGAAAGCGCTTGTAAGTCCCCTATGCGCTTCACTGAAGCGAGAGCCAAAAGAAACACCGTTTTGAAAGACAGATGCTTCATGTCTGACAAATGGATTGGCTCGAACGGGGCACCTTTCATGGCTTCCATAACCGTAGAAAGGTCCCACACCGGGACTGAAGGAGGTCTAGGAGGGTTCAGCCTCCGAGCTCCCTTGAGGAATCACACGACCAGGTCGTTTTTTCCCAGTGACTGGCCAGACACAGGTTTTGCAAACGCTGTTATGGCCGCCACGTACACTTCGAGCGTGGATGGGGTCCTGCCCTTATCCAGCAGCTCTTGAAGGAAGGAAAGTACTTCCGTGACCCCGCAGTCTACGGGTGAAAAGCCCTGAGCTTGACACCAGGTAGAGAACACAGACCATTTTGCGGAGTAAAGCCGTCTAGTGGACGGGGCTCTCACCTGTGTGATCGTGTTTAACACTCCCTCCGGGAGGTTAGCGGGTACCCGTTGATGGCCCATGCATGTAGGGACCATAGCTGGGGCTGAGGATGCCAAATCGAGCCCTTGGCCTGAGAGAGGAGGTTTTCCTCAACGGTATTGGCCACGGGGCAGTGCTAGTCAGCCGCATCAGGACTGGGAACCAAGCCTGGTTCGGCCATTTCCCTGATTCGTTCCAGCACTTGAGGCAGGAGCGAGACGGGAGGAAAAGCATAGAGGGGACAGCGGGGCCAGACGTGGGCCAGACGTGGGCCAGCGCGTCCTCGCTCTTGGAGAAATATTTCGGGCAGTGAGCGTTCTCGTGGGACGCGAACAGGTCCACCTGCGCTTTGCCGAATGTCTCCCACAGCAGTTGGATCGTCTGCGGATGCAGCGACCATTCCCCTGCTGGGACATTGTTTCTGGACAGTCTGTCTGGTCCCAGATTCAGGTGACCAGGCACATGCGCTGCTCTCAGTGAAAGCAGGTTGTGCTGAGCCCAGACCAGGAGGCGTTCCGTTAGCCTGTAAAGGTTTCGGACTTGATGCCGCCCTGGTGATTTATGTATGCCACCACTGACATGTTGTCCGAACGGACCAAGACGTGGTGACCCTTTATCTGGGGACAGAAGCGCCGTAGCGCATTGTCGACTGCCATCATTTCCAGACAGTTTATATGTAGGAGTTTTTCCCGTTCTGACCACTGGCCAAAGAACAGTCTGCCCTCGAGCAGCGCTCCCCATCCCGAGGTGGAGGCGTCCATGGACATCACCTTCACACTCGAGGGAGTCCCCAGACTCACACCTGACTGATACCAGTCGGTTACTTTCCATGGTTCCAGAGCTGAAACGCATTCCAGATCGACCCGGATGCGAAACCGGCCAGCGGTCCATGCCCGGGGAGGAACTCGCGCTTTCAGCCACAGCTGCAGTGGGCGCATGCGAAGCAGACCCAGCTGGAGCACTGAAGCTGCTGAGGCCATGAGGCCCAGCATTTTCTGAAACCTTTTGAGCTGGACTATCGAGCCGCGGCGGAAGGATTTCACGGCGCGCTGAATGTCCAGCTCGCGCTCTGGCGACAGGCGCGCTGTCATGGATAGCTGACACAGCTTGCCCAGCGGCGGTGTAAGCGCAGCCGTGCATGGCTGACGTCACTCGGCAGGCTTTAGAGGGTAGCGCCATCAAAGCACGCCGTCCAGCGGAGGGCGGACAAAGATGGGACGCTACCGCTGCTTCCACTGGAGGAAGAGAGAGGTATCCTTTATCTTTCGCACCGACCACAGAGGAGAATGCTGCAGAGACAGAGGTACGCATTCTGGCCGAGAAGGGGGCGTTCCACGACTTCGTGACTTCTTTGTGAAGCTCAGGAAGAAAAGGCGCGGGTCTTGACTGAGATGGGGCGGAGTCCTTCTGGAGGAAGCAACCATCCAGCCGGTTGTGCGCAGGCTGCGCGGGCGCCTCCCAGTCGAGGCCGAGGTTGTCGACGGCTTGAGAGAGCAGACGCATCAGCTCAGCTTCACTGCCGGCTCGTTTCCCAGCCGGCTGGCGGGTAGCGGGGGGGGGGGGGTGGGGGGGGGGTCTACAGAGCTCGCTGTCTGATGCCAGGATGGAACAGGCCTCGGCTGGTTCATCACACTCAATGGCGGAAGCGGTGGCAGACGGCGGCCGCTGTCCATCTGTGAGTGATTCGAGCGATGCCGGCGAAGCTGGCAGGCGAACCGGCGAGCTTTGGCGGGCAGGAGAGAGCTCGGGGGCAGGCTGTGCACGGCGCTTCTTGCGGCGCGGTACCACAGCGGGCAGAAGTGCAGGCTCTGAGAAAGATGCCAGGCGAGTCCTCAGAGTCACCATAGGCAGAAGCTCGCAGTGAGGGCATCCGCCGTCAGCGAGCGCGAGAGTTGGGCTCGGCACGAGCCACAGGAAGAAGGCCTTTTTTAAAAAGACGCTAGCTCTTTTAGAGGAATAGAGAAGTGTAAGTTGCAGCGGCGAACGAACACTCTCAGCAGAGTTAAAAGGATATATACACCGGAAAGCGCAGCAGGTACGGCGACTGAAGGCGGCGAGGTGAAGGCCAGCGGTTTCAGGTTCAAGGCTCGTCCCGCAGAGGGCTTGTGTCGACGGCGCGGCTTCTCACTCTGGATCCAGCGATGCGTGCAGCTTCGCTGAAGAGATGAAAATCAGTTGTACCAGCCTAATCGAGTTATATTTATAGGGCGAGACCATGCCCTTTCTGGCGGGACGTGACGAAATGGGCGCGAATTGCCCCCATTGGATGTGGTGTCACGCAGCGCCTCTCTCGATATGCTGCTGCTGTTGCCGCAGGGCAGCCAATAGGCGCGCAAGCCGCCTTGCCTATGTCTGCATGCTGCTGCACAGCGTTTTACATTAATACAAAATTAAGGATAATTTTTTGGCTTCAATATCTCGTGGAAAAGAGGTTTTCCCCGTTGCGTAAGATATTACGCAGTACGAGAGTACTCTCGTAAGAGAACTATAAATTACGCATAATTACATGCAACTAATCCAAACCCTAATCCTAACTATAGTAAGTACATGTAGTTAGTTAATTATTATTACTCAGTACCTAAAGGATAAGTTCGGTATTTTACACTTAAAGCCCTGGTTTAAGATCGTTTCTGATGAAATAGAACGGTTAAGATTGAAATTTGGACACATGCTGCCGGCCCGAGAATTTTCGGTTTCTGTGGTTGCACCAGTCTCTGGACAGTTGGTGACGCAGGGACTAGATGGTCAGTGAATCCAGGTGAAGAGTGCAGAGATGATTGTGATGAATACAGGTGATAATCCAGACACAAAACAGAAGCCGGGAACAAGGACAGGAACAAAACTGCAACGACGACTGGAACAGGACCAAACACACACGAGGGACATCAACAACGATCTGACAGAGAGAAGAATGCGATGAGTATTTATGGGTGAGTGGATTGGATGCAGCTGGAGAGGAGATTGGATCAGCTGATCGCTGATCAAGTGGAATGAGCCGTCACGCCCCCAATCACACACGCCCACACACATACCAACAATTACACGAGACAAGAAGGAAACAATGAATTTATGAACCGTGACACATGACTTGGACAAAAACTACGATAAAACCTGTTGGAAAGCATTTTTGCAGCGATGCACAGTATAATATGAAACCTTAAAATAAAGTGTAGCCAAAAATGTTATGTAATTCATTAATTATAATCTGTGCTGTCCTTTGTTTAATATTTGTGTTCGCTACATTTTGCGCTTTAAAAATTTAATAGCCTATTTTAATATTCAAATATTAAACCCTGTGTGTAGCTAAGATATTCAGTATAACAGAACTGTCTATTTATGTCTATTTAGGCCTATCATGTGCAAATAGTCCGCCGTGTACAACATGGAAATGTATTGCACTACTTATGATGATCATAGGCTAGCTACTATGGAGTGTCGACGTCACTCTCAAGGCTTCTTCCACACACAAATGCGCACTCACGCTCTCAAAGTGCTCTGAAGATGTGGCAAACTCGAGATGTGAGCGCCTCGCCGTTTAACGCATTAGCAGCAGGAAAAACAAGGATGTGGTAACCGTCACTTTTTATGTGCATAGCTGTTTATTTTACTCAACATTTCAAGATACGATTAACTTCCTTTTTTTCGAATTTTGGCTGCATGTACTGTATGTAGGCTATAACCTGTTTGAGAATCTGCTTTAGGCTGCATTTAGCAGTGGCATTAGTTGCAGACTTGGACACGTTGCGACAGCGGCATATCCTCCGAAATGACCAACATGAAGCTTATCATACACGCTTAACCTACATAGCCTATTTGTTTGTGATGGACTGGGAGGCTTTTTATGTGGGCTGCTGAGTCCAGCAACTTTATTCTCGCGCTGTGTGAGGATTTTACCACAGCTTTAGATGAAGCATGAATTGCGATTCAAAGAACTTCTCGTAAATGGCAAGGTCCACGCTCAGGTGTGTGGAAGCTCCGAAAGAATTTCCTCCATGCATCAAGCATGCAATAAAAGTGATATCAGCTGAACTGAGTAAAGCAAAGATGTTTTCGGAAGAAGCCAATTTCAGTTACACTTCGAACGGCACGGATGATGATGACACGCTGTCCACGCTAGATCAAGATTGGAGCGACTCTCCTGCTGAGAAACTGTCACGGACGGGACATAATGTGGTCGCCGTTATTTTGGGATCTATTCTGGTATTCGGGATCCTAAACAATTTAATCGTCCTCGTTCTGTTTTGTAAATTCAAGACCCTACGGACTCCTGTGAACATGCTTCTGCTCAACATCAGTGTGAGTGACATGCTCGTATGTCTGTTCGGCACCACGCTCAGCTTCGCGGCCAGTATCCGTGGCCGGTGGCTGGTGGGGAGACACGGGTGCATGTGGTACGGATTTGTCAACTCGTGCTTTGGTGAGTAAGAAACAATCGAGAATGCTTAGCTTTAGCTAAACATCCATTGAATGAATGGTTTTTGAACCATTCATTCAAAAACCGATTCATTAAGGAACTAAACGCCACTAATGTGTGTTGACTGCAACAGTTGCTTGGCTTGCTTGCTTGATTTATGTGAGCAAAAACAGTTACACAGTTTTAGAGCTGCATGATTCTGGATAAACTGAAAATGATTTTTTTTTTTTGTAGTTGCTTAAAATAGAGATCAATATTCTCTCAAAATTCTAAAGAAAAATGTCAGTCATTGCTCTAGAAAACCTGAATCTAAAGCTACTAAACTAAACATGTAATTTACCAAAGGTTCTGAGAAAATGTTATTTTTCAGTCCAATTAAATATTATTTGAAATATTTTAATGAAATATTTTAATTAAAAGTTTACATAAAAAATTTAGCTTCCTATTAAGTTAGTTTGCCACAACTAAAGAGAATCAGGGAAGAGACGATTAAAACTTCCTGATGTATTAATTTTATTTGAGTTTTATTGTACAAATATTTTTTGAACAAATTGATTAAATCAATTGATTAAATCAATGACTCACTCTTAAAGACAACTGTTTCGTTCCTTGAATTAGCATTTTTGAATTAATGATTTTTTTTATTTAAAGCAAATAATTTTCAGAAAATGCAACTCTATTTGACTGACTAAGAACTTTTTGAACCAAGTGATTAAATTTCCAATAAATCATAATAAATAAATAAAATCATGTGGCCTATTGTTAAAAATTAAACATGATGATAGTAAATAAAAGTGGAAAAATAAAATGTGTTGGCTGAACTCACACATTCACGTCTAAATTTGTTTAGACATGCGAGTACAGCCAACACATTTTATTTTTACCTTTTATTTTCTACAATCGTGTCTAATTAAAGATAGGTTACATTATTTTATTTATTTATTATTATTATTTGGAAATTGCATCACTTGGTTCAACAAGTTCTTACTCAGTTTGAATGGGTATGATGCTTCAGTGGTTCAAATTGCACATAAATAAGAAGATGATTTAGGATGATGAAATGATATGATCTTTCATCTCTGCCTTGTTCTATTGCATTTGTGCTACAATGTAATTTCTTCAATGTCGTTGCTTTATTGTTTCTGATCCGCACAGGAAAATGAGATGATTGTGTTTAACAAATGTATAACAAATGTCAGTGAGGGTGCAAGAAGTGAAGTAATGTTATCAGTCCAGGTGACTGTTATGGATGACATACAACACTGCACAGAAGAAATGCAAAAGCAGTTTAAGTTCCCAGTTTTTGCCAATAAGAGTGTTGAGTCTTAAACCTTGGGTCAGGTGCTGATGATTTGTAACATTGTATTAGTCTTGTCACTGCAGGGGTGAACTGGAAAGATCAAATAATATGTTCTGAAAAGATGCAAACAAAATACAGGCTTGTTAGGAGGTGATAATAGCTTGAACTGTGGGTTTGAATATAACTCATAACATAACCTGTCTCTCTTATAAATGTTTACTTATCTAAATAGGAACATTCCAAATTTCCAATAGACTTCTATTGTTTTTTATGCTAACATTAACTCATTCCCTAACAGAATTTTTGTTTAAAAAACAATCACAAAAAACCTGTTGTACTCAGTCTACTGCCTTCTGTCGTCTGATTAATAGTTTATACTTCTTTAGCAAGAAAGGTACCTTTTAAAATAATTCCAAAAAATGTTCCCCTTCGCAGGTCGTGCTTGTGCCTTTTGAATGAATGAATGAATGAATGAATGAATGAATGAAATCTTTATTTCGAACAATTATAAAATAATAATAAAATAAATAAAGACAGCAATACGTATGAAATATCCATACAAATAATTAAACACAAAAAAACAACAACAACATTTTTTTTTAGCATAATAATCAACCTGTTCGACAACCTGTTCTTTTTGCTGTGGAATCCTTACCGATTAAGAATAACTTTTATATTATTAGACAGTGATATTTCAAGATGACCAATGTCCTGGAATGAAGCAACATATGTTTATCAATGTAACACTTTTTTAGAAAAATCATGTTAAAATGTGATGCATTGCATTTTCTTTTGCCCCCACAAAAACTAAACAAAAGCTTTGATCATAAAACTAAGAATTTTTTATTTTATCTTATCTTTTGATGATTTTAATATCATCTTATCTTACAACATATTATTGGATCTAGATTGACAACTGATATACACTCACCTAAAGTCAAGTCAAGTCAAGTCAAATATATTTATATAGCGCTTTTCACAATACAGATTGTATCAAAGCTGCTTCACAGTATCAATCAAAACAACTTAACAGTGTTTGTTTATTACTGGAAAAAGACATCCAAGTTTGGTAGAGCTGATCAGTGGTATGATGGGTCATTTAATTTGAATATCCCCTAAAGGATTATTAGGAACACCATACTAATACTGTGTTTGACCCCCTTTCGCCTTAATTCCACGTGGCATTGATTCAACAAGGTGCTGAAAGCATTCTTTAGAAATGTTGGCCCATATTGATAGGATAGCATCTTGCAGTTGATGGAGATTTGTGGGATGCACATCCAGGGCACGAAGCTCCCGTTCCACCACATCCCAAAGATGCTCTATTGGGTTGAGATCTGGTGACTGTGTGGGCCATTTTAGTACAGTGAACTCATTGTCATGTTCAAGAAACCAATTTGAAATGATTCGAGCTTTGTGACATGGTGCATTATCCTGCTGGAAGTAGCCATCAGAGGATGGGTACATGGTGGCCATAAAGGGATGGACACGGTCAGAAACAATGCTCAGGTAGGCCGTGGCATTTAAACGATGCCCAATTGGCACTAAGGGGCCTAAAGTGTGCCAAGAAAACATCCCCCACACCATTACACCACCACCACCAGCCTGCACAGTGGTAACAAGGCATGATGGATCCATGTTCTCATTCTGTTTACGCCAAATTCTGACTGTACCATCTGAATGTCTCAACAGAAATCAAGACTCATCAGACCTGTCCAATTTTGGTGAGCTCTTGCAAATTATAGCCTCTTTTTCCTATTTGTAGTGGAGATGAGTGGTACCTGGTGGGGTCTTCTGCTGTTGTAGCCCATCCGCCTCAAGGTTGTGCGTGTTGTGGCTTGTTGTGGCTTCACAAATGCTTTGCTGCATACTTCGGTTGTAACGAGTGGTTATTTCAGTCAAAGTTGCTCTTCTATCAGCTTGAATCAGTCGGCCCATTCTCCTCTGACCTCTAGCATCAACAAGGCATTTTCGCCCACAGGACTGCCGCATACTGGATGTTTTTCCCTTGTCACACCATTCTTTGTAAACCCTAGAAATGGTTGTGTGTGAAAATCCCAGTAACTGAGCAGATTGTGAAAAACTCAGACCGGCCCGTCTGGCACCAACAACCATGCCACGCTCAAAATTGCTTAAATCACCTTTCTTTCCCATTCTGACATTCAGTTTGGAGTTCTTGACCAGGACCACACCCCTAAATGCATTGAAGCAACTGCCATGTGATTGGTTGTTTAGATAATTGCATTAATGAGAAATTGAACAGGTGTTCCTAATAATCCTTTAGGTGAGTGTATGTATGCATTTTATGTAAGTAATCTGCTATAGCCTATACTGTTATACAGATCTCATTGATTTACATTACAAACTATCAGAACTTTATATGTTTTGGTCATATAAATATTAGGCACTGCACCAAATTGGATATTTTTACTCAGTTGGTACCTCCGAATAAAAGTTTTTTTTTCCCCCTCCTTGAGTATGAGCTCCATATTCTCATATATCATACTATATGAGCCAAAAAAGCCTGATGTAAAAACAATTGTTATGATAATGATTTTTATACTGTACAAACTATATACTATCCACTAACCCTAAACCTACCATCACAGAAAATCTTCATTTTTACACTTTCAAAAAACATCGCTAATGACATTAGTCCCCGTGAGGATAAGCTGTTTTCCTCACGGGGACCAAAAAATGTCCCCACAAGGACAAGGATTTGGGATATTGCCATCTTTCTGGGGACATTTTAGCCCATAACATAGGGTTTACCACACACACACACACACACACACACACACACACACACACACACACACACACACACACACACACACACACACACACACACACACACACACACACACACACACACACACACACACACACACACGCACACACACACACACACACGCACACACACACACACACACACACACACACAAACAGGCGCACACATCTTTGTGGGGACTCTCCATAGCATAATGGTTTTTATACTGTACAAACTGTATATTCTGTCCCCCTACACTGCCCCTATCCCTAAACCTACCCATCACACAATACTTTCTGCATTTTTACATTTTCAAAAAACATTATTTAGTATGATTTATACGCTGTTGGGGACCGCTGGCTGGTCCCCACAATGTAGGTGATTTCAGGTTTTACTATACTTGTGGGGACATTTGGTCCCCACAATGTAATATAAACATGAACACACAAACAGACACACACACACACACACACACACACAGACTGCAGTTTTATATTAAATGTCAGTAAAGCCTTGTTATTTAGAACTTTTTTTTTAAAGTCCCTGTGTAAATCAGACTGTAATCGTTGAAAAGTATTTTTTAAAGTTTATGCATGATGCCATTTAAATCATGTAGTAACTAATATATTTTGAATTATTTTCAGGGAGTTCATCCCTGGAGTGCTTTAAATACTCTATAAAACATTTATTTTGTTAGGTGAAAAATATACTTCATGTTTAATTTCATCACAGTCCCCTGGAATTTGGACAAGAAAGTTACGTTTTTAAGCATGGGAAAGCAGCTGCTGAAGTGTAGTTGTGGAACCTGCAGTCTTGTGGAATTAAATTAGCAGGTAAATAACTTTGAAACATTTTTGTAAACACACAGTTGGGTTGTGTTGTGCCACTCTCCCCCCTTTTCCTTCCAAGTTGACCCCAAAAAGGTTTTTATAA